TTTTTAAGTCGTCCCCCCCCCGCAATTTGGCATATCTTTATTTTAAAAATTGTAGAAAAAGAGACTCGTACCTTTTATAGTTTCACTTGCATCTTCATTTGTAATTTCATACACTAAACCAAACTGAATCTCAAATTTTAAGTACTAAAATATTTACTGTTTCTTATACAGCCTTTCATTCATAGGTTTCAACACACTTTAGATAGCCCTATTCCCTCCCTATTTTGCAGGGGAGGCAATGATCAGAAACAGCTTCATACAAGGGATAATTTAAAGCAGGTAAGCTAAATTCCCATTTTCAGCAGTCCTAGTAGAGCTTATTCTGATTCTGCATGGAGACAGACCATGCTGGGGATGAGGAAGGATGAATATTCTCCCCACTGCCTGACACAATATTCAGCGAGACACTGGCCCAGCTGAGACTAGCTCAAGAGAACTACCTTGAGTCCTGAGCCTGCGCTCGACAAGCTCCGCATGTGAAGAAAACTGCGGTGCTATAGTTTTTCTTGTAAAATTACTTTGCCAAGCCTGTAAACTGTTAACCAAACAATACTGTGGTGTCATCCGAGAGTCAGCAGAGTTTTTAGACTGTAGATGGCACTGCAAGGTAAGTGCAAAGGTGCGTGTAGTAGCTGTGGAGATTTTATTCTCTTGAGTTTTTTTTATCTCCCAAACACCCTGAAATCAGTGTTCAGAAGATTAAAAAAACCTCAAGAGAGGTTTTTAAGACCCAGAGAAGACCTAGAAAGAAGTAAGGTAAGGCCAGAGGAGACCTGTCTGGAGGTGATGTAAAGGGAATGCCATGGTATCTTTGCCGACACACCATTTAATGCAGGGCTATCCCATTTTGGGAACTGACACCTCCCACAACAGTGGTGGGTCACTGCAGAGATGGACAGGAGTGGTGACTCCAGCTGCTCCTGGCATCCCTGGGTCACACAGCTGGAGCAAGACACTCCAGGTCCCCAGGCGTCACTTCAGCTGGGCCATGAACTCCTGCAGAGAGCACACTAGCAGACTCGGAGAGACAGGCTGCATCCCACTGTGCCCAGTGCTGTGAAGTGCATCCTGACCCACGGCACTTTGTGTGGCCCGTGGCAGTAGGTGGGCACCCTCTGCCACCCAGAGTGCAGCAGGACCGAACTGTCAGCAGCAACCCTGTTCTCATCGCATACACCTCATATCACTGTTGACAAACTATCCTTTTTGGATATCTGGATTACTATAGTAACAGAAAATACACCCCAGGCAGAAATGCTCCCAAGGTCTAATGAGACACGTTGGAAATCTTACGAGTTAAGGAAGAGATGTCAGACTATCTGACGTGGCATGGCTACATGGAAGTGTTCTCAGTCTTGCGAGATGAAGAACCTGCTTTGCTGAAGCCATGGTTTGTTGAGTGAAAGTTCCTGGGTGCTCACTGCATCTCCATTTCCTCCTTTACCTTCACAGGGGAACTCTCAAGTCCATTGAGCAGACTTCAGGGAGTCCCCATACTTCACCATCCTCCTTTCCATGCTATTTGATCCTTGGACTTCTCAACACTTCTCTCAAATGGTATTTGTATATGGAATTTAGTAACCCTGTCTCTCTGAGTAAGAGGATAGGCTTTCTTAAAGCAAGATGCACACATTTTTAATAAATTTGGAGACAGTTTACTGGTATAAAAATGCTTCTTTGTGGCTATCTGATAAATAAATAGTAGTCTGGGTTTCCTGCAAGCCTAGTAGTCTGGGTTTCTTGCAAGACTTCCCTGCTAAGAGGTGTTACACTGAATCTTCCTCTATTAGTTCTGTAATAAAAATTTCCCAGTATTTTATAATCTTTTTTTTCCAAGTTCATAAAAGAGAAAGATCATGAGGAACTTATTTAGTATCAGCAGAAGGTAAGACTGGAGCTGATTAATTTTTTCTTCAGCAGAGAGTATTACTGCTGCCAATAAGAATTATTACTCAAGACTCCAGAGGACACTGGTAATAATTAGGCCAGCTAAGGCACATAAATAGAAATGTGAAGGGGGAAATCTGTCACTCGACACAGTATAGCTGAAAAGGAAAAAATTAATTATTTGCATTTTTGATACATAGACTGAACTTTTCGATTACTGGCTGATAAAAGTAATTACCATCTTTTTTCAACATTCAGAATCAATTTCAGAAATCTGTTACAAAATCATTATAGTGATGGCATAAATTGCAGAGTGCATTTTTTCTTTACTGTCGCTTACATCTTCTCCTCTAATTCCTCCATTAGCCTAAGTCTGGTGCAGCAGACAAGGCATGGAACTTTACCTCAATATTTCTGCAGACTATTCTGGATGGATGGATAGGATCCATAGGTTGCCAGAAAGCTGCCTAATAGGGTAATGTCCTCCCTACAGCCTAGATTTATCTCCCCTAACCTTAAATGAGTATACACATTTGGAGCACAGTCAATCTGTAACCCTCCAACAGTCAATGAACTGAGATGCATACTAAGACAAAAAATACACTCTGTAAGCTAATTAATCTTCTCAAAATTGATGTTCCTCCTCAAATTCTGAAGATGGCTAAGTATACTGGTTTTCCTTTTTAAGTGCTGCTCTTTCAATTTTTTGAGGGATTTTTGACTGAAAGTCTAGAGCTGCTACAGCTGCTACAACAGCAGTCAGAGACACATTTTTCTTCCTATAAGATAATTACATGTTTATTTGTGATAATTCAGACCTTTTCACCACAGACTGAAAAAACCCTGATGAACAGCTCCTAACTGTCAGGCGTATACTACATGCTTCAGGAACTCACAAATCTGGCTGTTGGACTACCCAATTAAAAAAGACTCTTCAGTGACTCATTACTGGCTTTTCATCTCCACTGCCTGTAATTTCTTCTGAAAGGTTTAAAATAGTATATCTTTCTGCATCAATGTTGTCATTTTCCACTGGTAAAAAAAACCCCAAACCAAAACCAGTAGTTTAAACAGAGGCTTTATAATGTTACGTTATTACTTCAACGTATCTCTGCAAATCAAACTGTATCATCCTGATTCTGTGAATGGTATTCATTAGTTTGCTGCTTTTGCAGAGGCAGCACAAGATAGCAGGAATTTCTATTACTGACTTAGAGCTGGGAACAATTAGAAAAGCCTGAACAATAAGCAATAGGTGAAGTAGTTAATGTTTTATTTCTCCATGAAAATATTAGAAGTCCTGTAAAGGAGATCAAACCCTTGCATAGAAACCCATTGCTAAAAGTTTTTGGTCATTCTGTCAAGGTTTTGGCTGACTCAGACTCCATCAGGTCCTATTCATGACTCAGTATTATTTTCCAACTTTTCTGTGTCCCTTGCTGTAGTTTTCTATTCTTTACAGTAGTATTTTTCTATGAGAGACCTGAGGGGCTGTCCAGCTTCTTAGAAATTATTTTGCTCATATAGTATCTGTTCATGTTGTCTTGGACCTTGTTCTACTTTAAGCCTCTTAATTTTTCCACTGTGCTCTTTACCTCTCCAAAGGATGCCTGTCCCAGCTATTCACTTGAATTCACTACTGTAAAACAAAGTATTGTTTATGACTGACTTCAGCTGTATTTGGACCTCCTTATCTCCCCAGATGGTCATTACTGTTCTTAGGCCAGCTGGCAGCATACTTGGAGCAAGGCCACCTCTGAGGTATGCTTATGACTAAAGCAGAGAGAAGCTATCACTAGGAAAATAACACATAAATCAATTTCACATAGCAGGCAGGGTTAGTTACAATGGTGAATGACTGCTGGCAAACCAAACATTTATACAGTAAAATACAGAAAGCAGATTGCACAAGTCACATTAACTTGGTCAGATGGCATGGGTAAAAATGCTTGAGATTCACCTACATACAACTTCTACTCAGTCTTCCCCAAAGTGAACTGCTGCTGAAGAACACACGTAACTTTTTTCAACTTCAAATGTTTTGTGGTTTAAAAAACAGCTCGGTTGTTTTGAAGTCTTTCAATGCTTGCACCACACAGGGGATAAAACTGGCTTTAAAGAAACACGTAGAAACCGTAGCCATTGGCATTACTGTTAACATATCATTAGTGTGTTTCCGTATTTTGGAAAAAGTGATGTACGATTTTGTTACTCTGTATTTTATGGTAGGTACTGCTTCTCTTGGCTCCTAGCTTCCCACCCCAAAATGCTGCACTCTAATCCTGTTCCAGATTAATCTGTCACCTGTACCACCTATTACACGATCCAAGACATTAATTAAAAAGTAGAATTGAATTGAGCCCTCATGGAGTTTACTTGAAACACACATTAAGTGAACCCTATGTAATTATTTTACAAGGGCAGTTGTTCAAATCCTGTGCACGTACCAAGTTTGCTTACGAGACTGCCTGCCCAGCTGGTGTCAAAAGCCTCACAAAAATCAAGCTGTATCTTATAAATGAGGCCACTTGTTCTGCCAGAGAGAGCAATTACATTGGCTTAAGACGATCTGCCTCGAGACAGCCTTCTCGATGCTTTCTGTCACTTCGTTATTTTCTAGAGACCGGCAGGCTGGTTGTTTAACTATTTGCTTTCGAGTCCCCCTGGAGGTGCTGCCTTGCCAGAAACCCACCCTACTTCTTCACCGCTGGCCACACTGCTTCCCTCGTGAAGACTGACAGAACAAGGCACTGAAACACCTCAGCTTTCTCCCCTTCGCCTGCCCCCTCCCCATTATTTCCTGCCCCTTTCCTCGCCCACGACACGACGTGCGTCGCAGCCACCTCACACCTGCGGCGGCCATTTTCCTTCAACCCTTTCATGCCGCGGGACAGCCCGTCATGCCAGGCCACGCCCACCAGGCTCGCCCCGCCCCCTGGCACCCCTTTAGCCACCTGACCCAGCCTGTCAGTCAATCCGGGCTCCGCCGTGGGGGGGCGGAGCCGAGGCGGCAGTGGTAGCCAATTGGCGTGCGAGGTGCGGCGGCGCCGCGGCCAATCGGCTGCTTGCTTCTTCGGGGGTGCGGCTGCTGCTGTCCCTGCGCCCCGCCGTGAGCCGCTGGCACCGGCCGTCGCCGCCTGAGGTGTCGCGGTAGCCGCAGCGGCCTGGCCCTGCCCCTGCCCCGGTGTCACTGAGGATGAGCTCCCGCGCTGCCCAGCGCCCGTCCCGCCCTGCCCGCCTGAGTCCATTCATCTAGCGACTGGTGAGGGGCGGGCCGCGACCTGCTGATGTGTCCGGAGGGGGAGCCGGGCCTGGGGGAAGGGCAGTGTCACGGCTGGCCCCGCGGAGGCGACGGGACCGGACCGGACCGGACGGCAGCGATGGGGGGGCTGTAGGAATGGGGAGAGCCCCAGGCAGGAGAGCCAGGGAGCGTAAAGGGCAGCCGGCCACGTAGGATGGGAGGGGACCGGCTTCGAGGCGGAAGAAGAGTGGCTCGGCCGCCTCTTTGATAAGTCTTTTCTGTCGCTTGTCGCTTCCCGGCTACGTGGACATGAATAGAGGGAGTTAAAACGGCCAGCTTCCCCCCCCCCCCCCCCCGGACCGCCAAGGGGGGGGGGCGG